AAAATGCGCAAATTTATACAAAGAACGTTAATTACTTCGTTTAATAATTGGCGAAATTGAAGATTTTATGATAATAATTCAGGTAAGTGGATATGCATCGATGCCGATCACATCCTATACAAATCAGCAGCAACAGCAGCAGTACATTGCAACACCAAATATCCCAGTTCAATTCAAAGGTACCACAGGTCAGGGTGGGCCGGATGTGCACAGCCAAACAAGTAGTAACGATGGTTCCAGTGGAAGCGAACATCGAAGAGGGTCTGTTTTTTATTTTTTTTTCCGGAATTTTAGTACTTTTCGCAGTTATTTTAAGATGCGGAAGAGCGATTTTTACGCCATTTCGTGGCTTAATCTTATGAAAATCATAGAAAACTTAATAGACCGAGACGTCTTATCTCATTCTTACCTCATTTCCTCATTCTTTCTTGCTTTGTATCCAAATACACCTTCGACACTTTGTCATCCAAGGTCGACCTGGATGTTACAATCGGCTTGTCGGAAAAGAGGATAGTTTCTTCACAGCGTTTGTTAGACAAGTATCATAAATTGCAAGTTCGTCCGGGCAGTCATTGTAGGGATTCGATGTTACTGATGTTACTGGGAGGTTCTCATAAGTCAGCCGAGGCCGGCCCCTTCGATCCTGGACCGCATACCTTCAATTAGTATCCACAGCTCGGAAAATACCAGGAATACCAAAGGTATATTGGAACTTTTTTCACCTTAATACTGAAATTTTTTTCTTAGACGAGCGATATTACCGCCAGCGCCAATGCCATCGGCCCATTCAACTGCGGCGCCAACACATATCCAGAAAGGCACATCAATTTCTCTGGTTGGTGGACCATCAGTTGCAATGGTACCAAAACGTTTGGAGGAAATTCCGCGTGATTTAGCATCAAGTCGCCAAAGTTTTCGAATTGCTATGAGTCAACCGTTTGAATTTTTTGTTGATAATTTGTAGCCCTCGAAAGGCCGATGCTGCTTGCTTACATGTTTTTTTTTTTTTTTGTAAAATTTCTCTTCTGAAATTGATTTTCTCATCGCTGACCTTTTTTTTTTCGCATTGCTATTGTAAATTAGCTTTTTTTTTGCATTCGATATAAGACAGGGTGCTTCAAAGTTTTAGCATTTTTAACGGTGTTTTTTTTTTAAAGATTTTACTGAGCTTAAAGTATTAAAAAAATTTTTATTAAAGTTTATACTTGCTTCGCTGGTGAGACATTTAATCGCTTTACGATTTATTCATTCGTTTCGATGGTAAATTGGTACTGGCATATGCAAGGAAGTCAAACCTATCATCAGACTGCTTCTATGCTACTCTCGAAAGAACCTGTGCTTAAGCTCAGTAAAATGAGGCAACTTTATTTTTAAATTGTTATTCTTTTTAAATGGCTTTTCTTCTGTCACGCATTTGCATAATTATTTGTTATCTTAGCTTTTAACTTTTTTCCAGTAGTCTTTTTTCTGTTTTGATTTTTGATGTTGACGATGATTAATAGATGATGGGTGAAGGGTAAAAAAGCGATTTGAGAAAAAAAAGGCAATCCGAGGAAAATTTTTGATCTTTTTTTGATTTTCAGTTTTTAAGTTCCTTCGTTGATTGGAAATTTCTTACAACAGAAAAAATGGCTTTTTCTTTGCGGAAGATTTCCATTTCGAATTAAGATTACCTACATAATCGGTGAGGAGATCCGTATTAGTGGTTCTCTTGCGATGCACTCACACGCTGGATGAAAATATGTCCAGGCTATTCTTTCTTGGCTTATACGTTTCCTGTTAATACCCATCGTTTTTAGGTATCTACGAGTGCCACCGTTTCGAAGGCAATCCCAGTGATTGTTTTTTTCTTCATGAGTTTCATTTCTTAGCTCCCGATATCTACCGGTTTTCGGCACAGTAAACAACCTGCCCAACCAATCGAAAATTTTTGAATTTATTTTTTACCTGTGAAATTTTCGCATAGTGTACTTGGTATGCTTTAAGTGATTCATTTGTTTGAATATAGTTTTAGAAATTGTGATTTTTCAAAATATGGCTTCTACAACACCAGTGTTTGCTTTTGAATATTGATAAAATGTGCTAGTAAGTGATTCCTGACAC